GATCAGTAGTTGCCTCTCAGTTGCTCACTAGTTTTTAAGACCCAGATCACTGCTCACCATAGTCGGATGTAGAACATTGTCAGCCACAGCCCTTCTTAAGGGAGAGAACAACTTTGGGCCTTTGGGAAGGCCTGTGACTAAAGTCGGAGAGCGAAAGCAAGTATTGGGATGACATCATGGGAGTGGAAAGCAACAGGACAAAGACCATGGGAGGAGGGTGCTTGTTGGGGTGGGGGGTGGGGGGAGGAGGTGCACTATAGAAAATTCCAGATTGTGCCTCAACAGCTGTCCTTATGAATGGTAGGTGAGCATGTGTGTTGAGCGGGGAGTAGGTAGGAGACAGTGAGAGCAGTTAGTTGTTTGGGGAGAGGGGTGCCCAGTGGGGGTGGGGTGGGGGACCACTCGGAAGTCAGTGAGATGAACAAAAGGGTTACTGAGCAGCCGAGGCCACCTAGATGCCCAAGGCTCAGTGTCTGTCACCAGTGGGAGCTTTGTCCCAGCTCACAGCAGCGGGCAGGTGTATGGGACAGGGTGGCTGGAAGCCTCGGGGGTCGCTCCCCAGGGTCAAGTTGGAGCTGGAGCCAGAAGCTGTCCTTCTTTCTACAGGCGCTCCCAGGCGCTGTGTGGAGTCAGCAGGTTTGAAAGGCCCCGCTCCCCTGCTCTGTCCAGTGGCTGGCCACCAGGATGTGGGGGCAGGAGCACATGGAGCGGTGTTTGTTACCTGACAGCAGTGTCCCATGGGGCTGTCGCTATAGCAGTTTGCGTGCATGCGCGGCTCCAGGGGGCTCGGTGGTCTTACTGCTGATGGCCCTGCTGGGTACATACTTGGCCTCAGGCCATGGCGCAGTGGCTACGCATAGGGGTAACCACAAGGAGACCACCAGCTTTCCACTCCCGTAAAGAGCCACGGCCTTGGAGACTCGGGCAGCTCTGCCCTGTCCTGTGGGGTTGCCATGAGTCATCGTAGACTCGATGGCAGTGAGTTTGATTTTTGGTTAGTATTCTAAAAAGCCCTAGTGGCACTGTTGGGTAAGCATTGGACTGTTAGCCACAAGGTGGGCGGTTCAAACCCACCAGCTGCTCTTCAGGAGAAAGTTGAGGCCATCCGCGCTCGGGGAAAATTACAACCTTGGAAACCTCTGATGTGTAGGGTCTGTGAGTCAGTCGACTCGATGGCCGTGGGTCTGTTTGAAGCATCACCATCAGCACAGTCCCAGGTTGTCCTGCTGCAGAGAGGCCTGCGCTGCTGCAGACATGACTGACCCATGTGTCTGGAACTGGGGTCAGAAAGGCGGTGGAGAAGCCCCGCTGCCGGACAGCTGCAGCAGAGCTGTGTCAGAGTGGGGCAGGGTGAAATTTCCATCTGTCTTTCAGGCAGCGTTTCTCCTTACTGTGTGTTCGCTTCCTGTCATTCTCTGGGCCAAGCCCTCCACAGCACCGGCTCATACCGGGCTCAGGACTCTGCCGTCTGCGTGCGCTCCAGGTCCAGTCTGGCCTCGGGTTACAGTGGAGTCTGCACACCACATCTCCTCCCAGAGAATTGGGCCTGTGGTCCCCAGCATTGCAGGACGCTCAGGCAACTTGGAGGTTTTTACTCTCTCTCTCTCTCCTTTTTTTAATCATTTAAATAATTTTAGCGTTCTATATATAAATTGTATCAAGCATATTTGTACATATGTTGCCGTCATCATTTTTGAGCCCTTGGTATCAGCTCCGTTTTTTCCGTACCCTCCACCTCGTGACCCCTTAAGTTATAAATTATTGTTTTCATATCTTACACCATCCGCTGACTCCCTTCACCCACATTTCTGTTATTCATCTATGGGGGGAGGGGGCCAGGGTGGATTATGCATTGACCACTGTGATCGGTTCCCTCTTCCTTCCCATCTTCCCCCTAACTTCCTGGTATTGCTACTTCTATTTCTGTTCCTGAGGGGTTATCTGACCTGGATTCCGTGTGTCATGAGCTCTTATCTGTGCACATGCTCCAGTCTAGCCAGAACTGAAAGGCAGAACCCAGGTTATGATAGTGGGAGGTGAGGAAGCCTCAAAAAACCAGAGGAGTGTTGTGTGTTTCATCAGTGCTGTACTGCACCCTGGTTGACTCATCCCTTCCTTGTGACCCTTATGTGAGAGCATGGCCTATTGTCTACAGAAGGGTATGGGGTCTCTGCTCCGAGCCCCCTCATTATCAACAATTTGTTTTTTGTTTGTTGGGGGTCTTCTGATACCTGTTACCTGATTCTGTCAACACTTCCTGATAGCACAGGCTGGTATGCTGCTTCCATGTGGGCTTGTTGCTTCTCTGCTAGATGGCTGCTTATTTAACTTCAAGCATTTAAGAACCCAGACGCTAGATCTTTTGATAACCAGGCACCATCAGCTTTCTTCACCACATTTGCTTATGCACCCATTTTGTCTTCAGTGATTGTGTCGGGATGGTGAACATCACAGAATGCCAGATTGTAAGAACAAAGTGTTCTTGCGTTGGAGGGCTAGAACAGAGGCCCAAAGTCTGTCTACTTCCTCAATGTATTGCCATATAAATATATGTGCATAGGCCAATACCTTTATTTTTATGAATTAATATATTTCCATAAGTGCACATCTATGTTTATACCTCTATGCATAGCTTTGCTTCCTAGATCTTTCCTCTGTTTCCTTTTACCTTCCTTCTGCCCCATCATCACGCTCGCCCTTCTTCTGCTTCTTAATAATTCCTCTCAGCTAGATTGCTGGTGCTCCAGCTCCCCAGGATGTCTACATCGCCCTTGGTTGTTCCCCCGTCTGTGGCGGTGTTTGCTCACCGCTCCTCTCCCCGCCTCCTCCTCCCTCACGTCCCTCCAGAACCTTTGGTCCGGGTGCTTTCTCCTCAGGCTTGCTTCCCTGCCTGTCTTGTATTGGCAGGCAGAACAACAGTAACAGACAAGACAAACGATTGAGTAAAAAGAGAGAGATTAATAAATAAATAAAAAGGAAAAACATATATACAGTGAAAAAGCATACATAACTCCAGGTCTGTCCTCTGACCTTTATGACTGTCTCCCCACCGGTCCTGGGGCAGGGGGGGATCCAGGAACTGCCCCTCCTAGCCTGAAGTCAATTCTTGAGGCTCCTCGGGGGCTTTGTGGCCGGGCTTTGCTCTCATTGCTGACTGTGGTTCGCCCCACTGGGGGTGGGTCAGACCAGACTCACTCCCTGTGCTGGGTCCTCATCGATGATGTCCTCTGTGGCCCTGTGCTCCAGCGCGGGACATCATGTTGTCCGCCCCTGTCTTCTCCGTGCAGGGAGTCCCTTGCTCTCTCTGTCTTTTTGGTTTGTTTCTGTGTGGGCATGGCAGGCCGGCCCCTCTCCCCAACCTGTAGTTTTAGGGTTGCCCTCTGTAACACATACTGCCGGGGTGGGGGGGGGTGGGGGGGGGGATATGTCAGTTTGGCTGTGATGGGGCCTGGCCCTGTAGATCCTTCTGTTTATGAGTTGGTCCATGTGGTTACAAGCAACGTGCTTTTTTAGGAGAAAACCTGCTTATTACTAGTCCGCAAAGGTGGGAGGTCAGAACCAAGATAGGAGTTGATTTCCCAGCCCTGGGCCGCTCTTCCTGTTGAGATTTAATCAGGGTGGTTCACAGATGTTCCAATACCTATTTAATAACTGCAGACACTCTCCAAACCTAATTTCCATTTGGAATTACCTTTTATCCATACTTTGGGAGAAGCAAACACTTGAGGCATCCTAAACCTGTGCCACTTTGGTGTGTCAGCTGTTTTGAATGAACCTAATCCCCCCTCCCCTCCCCTCCAGGGTTAGAGGGCAGCAAGACACCCTTGGTGAGTCGGGCACTTTGAGTTCATGTGGCAATTGGCAGAGGGGCTAAGATGCCATGTCCTTTTATTATTAAAGGGCTGACTGTGATAGGAACAGAGATTATGTGTCTAGTCATTGCTTTAGGGCTATTTGCTTGCTTGCCTTTTGTGACTTTTGTACAACTGTTTTCGTTCGTATGATTTCTGTCTCTGAAATCCAGGAGAGGCGATCTGTAGAGACAGTACGTGGCAGGGCAGGGAGGATGGCGGAAATGGGAGCTAAAAGTATGAGAAGAAAATGTTCTGAGATTGATTGTGGTGATGATTTCACAAATCTTCATGTGATTGAAGGATTAAATTGTATGTGATGTATATACCAAGAGAAAACTATTCAATAAGAAAAGACGTGGATAAATGAACTAGGGATTTTACGTGACTTCACGCATTTCAGAGGACACACGAGGGCCCTCCGTAGCAGCCATCCCTTTGATCTGAGCTGAGGCGCCGAGCCAGGTTTCCTTCGCCCAGTCTCTGCGCGCGCGCTGGGGCTGGGGCGTGATCGGGGTGCGCACTGACGGAGGAGGGGTCCTTAACTCAGCCGCCTCCACGCCCCACCTCTGCCTGGGTTTGGTTGGTGTCTTGAGAAGGGTGGGCATGAGGCACTGGGGCGTGTGGGAAATAGGGAGCCCTTGGAGAGACTGGAGCTGGGGGGCGGAGGGCGGGGAAATGTGTGTAACAATACCACCCTCACTCTTCCTATCAAGAAAATCTCGTGTGATTCTAAGACTTTTCTACAAAGACAGACAATCAGAGTGTGTGTTTTTTTCAGGAGATAATTCTTAGGCCAATCTTTCCGTCAAAAATATGTAATTACTAGGGTTGGGGGGGGGGGGTGATGCGTTTTGTTTCTCTTGTTTTTCCTTTTCCCTCCATGGTTCACGGACTTTGCAGCCACCTCCTAATTAGACTGAGCAGTTGGCTGTTGCTACCACTTCTGCCAACCAGCTGTGACTGCTGGGTGGGAAAACCGCACCAGTCACAAAAACACGTTCTACCCCAAAACACAAACGAAACCCAGGCGGCCAAACAGAGCCCCCTTTTGCTCCTGGGTGTGGGTCTAGTTATTCACACCAACAACAGGCCAGTGCTCAGTGACCCAAGTGGATAATCGTGTTTTCTCTCTTCCGGGGTCACCAGCCCTGTCTCGCCCTCTGCCCTGGCCGAGCTCCTCACCCTGCTGGACACCAAAGTGATTTCCTCGGCCGCTGCCAAACAGGTAAGTCTGTCCCAGCTTCCTGATGAAAGCCCCCGCCCGCTCTGTGGCCCCGAAACATCTCGGCAAAACCCATCCCGTGTTCGTTAGTGGTATTTTAGGTGGAAAGGTCCAGAAACCTGTCACTCAGCGAGGCTCTGAAGCCATTGTGTGTGTGGTTCTGGTCGTTTGATGCCTGGGGGAAATCCAGAACGCTTGCCCACGCCTGGTCGTTTCCCTCAAATGTTGGTTGCTAGAAGGCTGGGTCCTGTGGGCTGTGGGCTGTGGGCGCCCCCTGCACACAGCTCCCTGGACCAGAGGCCGAGGGCAGCAGCCAGTGCCAGGGGCTCGTTTGTCTTTGTCGCATGGCCGGCCTCAGGAAGCCCTCTAGCAAGGAGGGTGAGGTCACCCAGGCGGCCATCCACCGAGCAGCTCAGCAGCTCGTGTTTCATGCACAGGCCCACTGAGTGGAAACCCCCTGGGAAAGGGCAGCCTCTCCAGGGGCCCACTGTCTCCTCTCCACCTCCACCAGCAGCGCGAGGTCGGTGAGCTTTCTGGAATTCGGGCGATCCTCCCAGAGAAGGACCCAGAGAGAGACAGCACCAGGGCAGCTGCCAGCGGCCCAGCCAGAAACAGTGTTGTTTAATGGTGCCGTTCCCATCTAACATGCATACAGCCTGACAGTGGTGGCAAGCTACACAGTGGGGCTGTGGAAGGCAGCTCCTTTGGGCTAATTACGAACCACTGTGACGCGCACGCCGGGTTTGGGGCTCTGAAATGGAGACCCAGACTCCTACAGGCTGTGTTTACCCACCGTCGCAGAGGGATGCTGTCAATTGTGGGGACCGCGCTGTGGAGGGTGTTTTGGTTGCCTGCATGTCAGAGGCATACAAATGTTAGATGTCCTGAGGGCAAGAAACACCCGAGATGTAGATGTTCGTGGATATGTCTGTCTGTATGTGTATACACCTACTTAATGAATTGTAGCTTTTGAAATGAAAGGGGGAACAGCATCAAAAACAAACCTCTTCCTGCTCCATCCTGGTTTCCCCCCAGAGCACATCATTTTAAAGGGGGCGCTAAGGCAGTAAATGAGATCGCCCTCTCAGAAAGCGAGAAGAGATGGAAGCTGTAGACAGCTGGGTTCAGCCACACGCACTTGGGATTTCATCGGCTGCCACTGTTTAAAGGCAGTGGGGTGAGTCCTATCTGCTTCTGTGAGGCAATCAGAACCCGTTAGGAAGGGAGGAAGGAGTGTTGTGTACTCTGCATAAGGGACTCACTCACTTTCATGCTCTTGGGGAGGGAGGGAGATTCGTTCTGCTTATAACTTTTTTGCTTTTCTTTTAATTTTCTTTGGATACGTCTCCATTTGGGGCTCCTGAGAAGCCCACCTTAATAGATGGTTTTAGGGATGTTCTATCTTTTTCATCTCCCACTGTTGGTTGAGGCACCTCTCCATCCTGCCCTGCAGATGTGCACACCCCCGTGCCCCTGTAGCTTTAGACTTCAGTGACGCCATTTCAAGTCCGCTTCGCGGTCGTCTCCTGCAGGACTTTCACCAGGAGTTGAATGTGGTGTTGGAGGAACTCCTTCACTCCTGTGCCGAAACCCGGGTCCTTGGGGTTCTCAAAGGGGTTCCTGTTTACTTATTTTTAAAACAAGAGTTTATTGACTATCCAGGCCCCATTGGAGCTGGACTGCCCCATCCCCCAGGCCCACTGACCACACCCACCAGGCAAGTTCTGCAGAGCTGAGCTGCAGGTGTGGTACCTGGCATCTTGTAGCCATGATACGTACTTGTGATTTGCTTTGACTCCTTTGAGGGTAATTCAGGTTCGAACCCTTTGGATCCTTGGAGCATTTTCGACTGGCTTTCCCCCCAGCTAATACCTGGAGAGCCACTTGATGGGAGGGGAGGTGTGGCCCCCAGGGTACCGAAGGCAATGGGTCATGCTGCAGGCCAGGGGACTTGCTGGCAGAGCAGCAGATCCGGCCAAGCTCACAGCAGAACTGCAGCAGGGACTGAGGGAAACCGCCACCCTAGGAAATGCCTTCTTATTTCTCCAGTTTGAGGATCTAGAGTAGAAACTACATACATCATTAACTGATAACTATCGCAGATTGGGGCCAGCTCTACCTGTAGGGGATGAGTGGGGCAGGCCAGGGCCCTGTGGAGTATGATTTATGTTTTCGTTGTTTTCCATTTTGTATCATCATCATGGGTCCTCTTCCCTGCCCTCCTGAAATCACGTTTCCCAGCAGGCCGGGGTGGGTCCAGTCTTTACTGACTGAGTGGACTCGAGGCACACCCAGCTTGAGACCTCAGCTTGTGCCCAGTGCTCATGCTCACCACACTGCCTGCTGCGCTGGCAGGAGGAGGAGACTCCGACTGTGCTTACCCGGCATGTCGAGGCTTCCTTGCGGCCTCCCTCAGGCGGCCACACCCTGGGCATGGAGCTGTGTCCTCCTGCCCAGGGTCTCCCCTCACCCTGCAGGTGTTTGAGGACCTGTGGAGCAGCCCAGGGAAGACGGCGGCGCAGGTGGTGTCCGAGCAGCGGCTGGAGCTGATGGAGGACCAAGCAGCCCTGGAGCAGCTCTGCCAGGCCCTGCTGGAGGGACATCCCCAAGTGGTGACTGCCGGGCGGGGCGGGGAGAACGGGACCAAGTCCACCTGCAAAAGTGGTTCCCTAGCGAATTTTATTGGCCTTTGAGGTCAAAAGAGATGAAGTTAGGTAAATACTGGAAAAAAGGCAGCTTCTTTCCCTGTAAGGAAATGCCACCCTAGGGTGCGCAGATCCATTTAAAAGGGGGCGATCAAGCTCTGCAGATCCCAGTCCCTGGCCGCCTAGGCAGGTGGTCCTCTCCCGACGGCACGGGGACTTCCTAGGCCAACCTCTCAATCCTGGCCCGGCTGCAGGGCAGAGATGGAGATGTGGGAGCTTCTTGTCTTTGAGAAGTAGGAAGAGAGGCACGCGTGAAAACAGCATAGCTAAAAGCCAAGTCATTCCGTGACTGAGCCGAGCCCCAAGAAGGAAAGCTGAGATGAGCGTGCCTCCCTCCTGGAGTCCACTCGCAGTGTCCAGCCAGAGAGGTGTCTGTGGGGAGTGCTGCCCGCTGTCAGAATCACCCCCTCCCCCACCAGCTCGCCAGGGACATGAGCAGCCCTGGGTCTTGGCCCCCTCCATCTCCCTGCCCCGCCTATAGTGACTGATGAAGACAGAGTGTCACGTTCCTTCTGGGGGCGCAGGGAGGAAAGCCAGGCACTGCGGCGTGCTCCCTCTGCTCGGTGCATCTCGGGAAACGGCATGTCCCGTGTTGTGTGGTGCCAGGAGGAGAGGCCCTGGGTGCCTTGTTCTCGCGCTGGCGGCACCCCTTGTTCGACAGCAGTGTACGCCCCACAAGTCCATTTTAGCCCAAAGACAAGCAGCCACCATCTCCTTTGGCAGGCGTCTTGGAGCCCCAGATGCCCTCCTTTTGTCATCCTTCATCCGGTACTAGCAAGAAGGAAGAACAAAAGCAAGGGGATTTGATTTTCGGCACACCCAGCCTTCAGTTCAGGGTGTTTAGGGGTGAAGCTGTGTATGTATGTTCGTTCTCCTTACACAATTCTGTCGTTAAAGGTCACGGACGTGAAGAAGGGAAACCCCCGAGCTGTAAATAAACTGATTGGCCTGGCCCGGAAAGCCACCCTGAACCGCGCGGACCCTACGGTGATTAAGAAGATCCTGGAGGAGAAGCTGGCGACCTGAGCACTCTGGGCACCTCTGCGGTGGGCAGGGAACAGGGCCTGCGAGCGAGCACGCGCGATGGAGGCGAAGAGACGGCAAATGCCAGTATTTATTAACTGAGCTAAGAAGGAAAGCATGCTGCTCCCAATACTGTGACCATGCGGACGCAACGCTTAGGTAGGTACGGGGGTTTACAGCAACTCAGACAAGGATCAATTTTTTAGACCTAAAAATGGACTAATGAAGATGAGAACACAGTAATTGGCACACAGTAGACACCAGTTTGCTTAGGGAGGGCCCAAGGAATTAGTCAAACAATCACCCAACTACTGAGTCAGAGAGACGATGCCCATTCAACTAACTCCCTGTGGAACCTAGGAGGCACCAGTCTGAGAAGAAACGGTATGGGGTTTGGTTTTGTGTTGTAAAAAAGAGAAAGTTTTCAAATAAATTTAATGAATAAAATATATACTGAAATATCACAAAAATTAACTTTCACATCAAAGATATTGCAGTTGACAATTTAATCCACATTCCCTATCCTTGGGCCAAAATAGATGAAAAGATCTGTAACATTCAATTGCTTTGTCCGGGAAGCGGATGATTAGAACTAGTACATCCGAACTCTGACCTGAAGACCCTGGTGCACCGCGTACCTGCTCCCACCGCAGTAACACTATTCCTCCATTGCAGCGGGAAGCCCCGTGAACCTCAAAAACCACTTTGTGGCATAAAGTAAGAGCTCTGACTTTTTAAGGCCCAGGAAGGATCGGAAAACATGTCTGCTGCTCTGACAGCAGTCGGGGGCCTGGAGAAAGCCCTCCAACACTCACCCCACCTCTCTCTCCTGGTTTGGACAGTGGCTCAGGGCTTCCCTGGAGTGAAGTGTCCCTTGCCCCCGCCAGCAACAGCGAAGGGAAAGGAAACCTGTTTCGTGGTTCATCTCTCAGACAAGTGTGAGGAAGTGTGCTTTAAAGATTGGGAATTGTGAGACTGACATGCGTGCCCCGCAGTCTGTTATAATACTACCAACTGCTAGGCCTAAAGCCAAAGGTGATGTCATGTGATTCAGAGAGAGAGAAAGGCGCGCTGGCTCCTTAGGGGCTGAGGCTGCAGCCTGGTGTAGCCTTAACTTTGTAGCACTGAGGCACTGGGTTTGTTACCACTGCCACTCTTACCGAAGGTCCTGGCTCCATGGCCAGTCAACCTCAGAAAGCACCCCTCTCCAGACCCAGCAAGTGCTCACTTGAGCGGGGTGCAGCCAGAGCACGGCAGCTTTCCAGAACGATCACGTGGCGTGTACACTACATGATGGTCATTTCTCCAGGAACGTGCCATCGTTCAAAGACTTGACCTGTGAGACGCCAGTTCTTGTCCCGCTCGGACCACTGCCTTTTTTTATCTCGAATGCCAAGTTCTGACATCTTGAAAATCAACCAGACTGTAATATTGACAGAACTGCTATGAGGGAAAAACCACCACATCAACAAAAACAAAGCGCAGCACTGTGGTCTTGAAGCCTGACCGACTGCACAGTCGACAGAGGTTTAGAGAACTGCTCAGAGAGGCACCAAGTGACTGCTGGTAAATGGGCGTCCGAGAGACACAGGTGTGAATCTAGTCCGGTTCTGTGTGTACTATTCGGGGAATCTCATTAAACTGTATAAACTGCCACCATAGGTGAAGCCGCCACCATCTCTCGAACCCACACACCTGTGGGCTGGGTGGGTGCTGGGCTCACACTGGGCAGGGATGTGCCAGAGAAGTGGCTCCCAGGATTTGTCTGCCCCGGCCGGCCAGGCCCAAACCCTGTCTTCCCAGGTGCAGGTTGGCGGCCTGGTGGGCAAGGCAGGGTGTCGGTCCCAGCACACTGCCAGCCATGCAGGAAACACTCAGCAAATGCTCATTCCTTTGATGAAATGAACTTAGCGGACCGCCTGTGATAAGAAACTGGTGCTAGCCACAACCAGGCTTTTAATTCTGGGTCATTTGGGTCCAAGTAGGGCTGCTTGACTATCTGGGCACCTACGTCAAAGTGAACTTCTCATCTTTCAGGGTGTTCGATGGCCCAAGGGAAGGAACTTAGATTGTCAATACACCAGGGAAGGATGCGTAGCCCACACTCACCCACCCCCAATCCCCAACACCTTTTTTCAGCAGTTAGGGATAATCTGGAAGGATATAAAATTATAAAAGCAGTCCATAAGCATAAGTTCTGCTCAGCTTTGGATTGGTTGACCAGTATATGGCTTATGGCCGTGACTCACTTCACATGTATTTCACATGAACTGAGCGCCAGCATTTCACAGACTCGATGCAGTGGCTACTTGAAAAAGGAGGAGGAGGAAACCTGAAGGCCATTTGAATGAGATTTCCCCTGAATAGCACACAGAGCCAGACTACATGTGATAGACCGCGCAGGAAAAGCAACCGTGAAGTGGCCGCGGGCCTGGTTGGGCAGGTTCTGGGGATGGAGCAGAGGAGACTGCCAGATGGGAAGCATTAATAGAAGCCCTTTTTCGCTACCCACTCCGGACAAACCATTTAGCAAAGCCCACCTCTGTAAGATGACCGCTGTCATCACACCCCCGGCCCTGACACACATGCAGAGCATGGGGGCCTGGGTGCAGGGGGCTGTGGGAAGACGGCCCAGCAGTGTCAGCTGAGGTGTAGAGCAGCCCGACTTCCACACTGAGTCTCCCTGTCGGCATGTGCAAGCTCTCAGGAGACGTGTAGCTGCCTATGGGACTCGGGGGGGGGGAGCTGTTGGTCATCTTGGGCATGAGGGTGACAGTGAGGGGGGCTTACTCCCATCTTGTAAAACGGGTAACATTCACCGGCTGGAGGGAGAGGCAGAATCCTTGAAGGGCTGAGTGCAAGAGGCCAGCAGCGGGCGGCAGGGGTGCCTCGCCTTGTCCTGGCCCTCGCAGACCTTCGCTGAAAGTCTCTCACCAACGAACGCCCTGTTGATCCACTTAGGAGCCGCCGGGATAAGCTGCCCTCCAGCCGCCTGAATGCACAGAGGATTTACTGAGGCAAATGCTCCCAAACAACTCTGAGTCTCCCGAGAGCGCTCTCTGAAGCGTTTGGTTTATGATGATCACTCACCGCAAATAAATAAACAAAAAGGGGAGGTCGATTTCATTCTGCTCTAGATGTTTCCTCAGGGGGGCAATGGATGGGTGTGGAACAAAGATGGCTTGATGGCAAACTGTCTTAAGCTGCTCTGGGGCGGAGCATTAGTCATTTATAGGCTAGGGCCAGGCAAGCCGGGGCCTGGGAAGCCCCTCTTAATGGCTTACGGCAGCCGTGGCCATAGTGACCGGAAGAGCTAACAGCACCGGGCTGGCTGCCCTGCACTGGGCTGGTCCAGTGCCTCCCGGAAGCCTGTGCAGTCACAGCCACGTGGCAGTATATGTCCATTCAAACTGGCAAGCGTGACAACCGTTCCAGTCAATACAGGGCTGGTCAGGAAGGATCAGCGTGAGCTGCCCTCACGCCAACTGGAGCCTGTACTGTGGGACCGGCCATGGCTGCCATTTGATGCACACACGTGGCCCACCCTGCTGGGGTGGTCCTCCCCTGGTGATGGCAAGCTAGACACAGCCCAGTCAAGGGTGGGCAGGCATCCACCTGCAACCTAGACTTTTACATGGGCCTGAAATCAACCTGAGCGACCACTGCAGCCAACCTGGTGAATGTTCAGCCACGGGCACCACTGGCTGCTCACCCTGACCAGGCAGCTCGTGTGTCCGTCCATGCCTGAATTCTGACCACAAACCACTGCCACCGCCACCCCTGTGCCCTGGACCAAGAGCCAACTACATGTGACTTACAGAACCACTACCAGCTAAGGAGAGGGTCCTCAGTGAACTGAGTGCATCCTTCCCACACCACACGGCATCACCTCCAAGCCCGCTTGTAAGACAGCTTCCAAGATAAGGCCGAGTAAAATGGGGACAATTTCAGAGTTCCTCTGAGCACCTGGGTGTCCTCACATGGTCAGATCCCAGCATTCCCGTCCCATGACGGGGCGGGGAGATCATGTACTCCCTGGAACAATGTTTAAGGTCAAACAGAGCCCGGAAACCTCTTAAATTAAAAAATTTCCCTGGCCATTTCCAAAACATCAAGCTTAAGTACTAAAGTACTCAACTGCAGCCTGGGTCTAGGGACCCTGGGCAAGGAGCTGGGTGAAGGCTCTGATGCTCATTGGCCAGCAGTCGGTCTTGGAGTCTCCCCCTTGGTAGTGGCTTAAGGAGAAGGGGCTCTGAGTATAATTAGGCCCTTGGAGCAGGCAGAGCATACATCATGCTAACGAACCCCATCACTCAGAAAGCAGACTTCCCGGGGACAGGACAGCACAGCGGGCACTGGGCTCTGCACAGCTCACCACCCCCGTCTGCATGTGTACCGAGCTCCCAGGACCTGCCTCCATCAGGCAAGCTTCCAGGTGGCAAGCAGCCAACCTTCATTGTCTCCCTCTTCCCGCCCCACACAAGAACTTCGTGGACAGTGCACCTCAGTGTTCAGGACACACTGCCAGTGTGACCCCAGGCCTCTCCCAGCAGAAGAATGCCACCAGAGCTGATCAAACGCCTAAAAAGCAGAGACGCTTTGCATAGGTACACTTGACTTTGTGCTAAACTCGGGCCCTCTTCACTATTGGGTGGTGACAGGCAGAGGAAAGCAAGCTCCCAAGCGAGAAGAACATTCCCCTGCATTCCAAATGCTCCCCCAAAGGGCAGCTGGTTTCCTGAGCAGTTAGTCGGAACCAGTGGGTGGGCCTGCTCCGTGAGGTAAAACATACTGGACCAAACAGAGGTGCTAGGAGGAAAAGTCCGAGGGACAAGTGACGGGTGCTGGTGACAGGTGAGAGGGGCTGGACCGCCCTTTTATAAGAAACAAGCCCAAGTCGGGGGCTGCAGGCACAGTGGTGGGCACTCTACCCGTGCCCCACAGACTCACCTGGGACCCAGGCACTTCTAGAAATCGGGTGGCAGCGCCTGATGGGGACAGAGAACCCCACAGAATTTGTGGGGAGCCAAGAAGCTCACCTAGGGAGCAGTCAGCTTCTCAGACCGACATTCTCTAGAGCTTGAGGTGGAAAGACCCTGCTGGCAAATCAAGTACTGTCAGGAAATATCAAAGTAGGCATTTTTGTAAGCAGCTTTTTTGCATTTAACATTCAGTTAAAACACTAAAACCTTATAAAACAAGAACCTCTACTTTAAAAAACAACAGAAACTAGCAACAGGAGTCCTCGAAGTCGCCCAGAATTTTGTAGCACAGAATGGAGTGCTCCTGGGCCAAGGCAGCCAGCTCCTTCAGGAACTCCGGGAAGAGGGCCACAGCCAGCATGGTGTTCCGCACCGGCAGGGGCAGGTTTGGGGGGGGCCCAGATACCTTGGCTCTGTTGGTCAGGAAAGGCTGAAGCACCTTGGGGGGACCGTCCAAAAAGTTCTTACTAGTCCTGGTCCAGGATGCCTCCTGACTGGGTTCTGAAAGCAGAAACAAGGGCTGTCAGTGTGGGCCCTGCCACAGTCTTCAACGTCGTCAGGGGTTCGGTTCCTGTGACCTGTCAGTCTTAGGGCCCAGCCCTGCGACAGGTTGAGCACCCGGCATGTTCCTACAGCTGCCCCAGTCGGCCACCTCCAGTACCGGGCATGTGGCCGCTAAGGCACTTCAACCTGAACCCACAACTCTCCAGGCCCAGGAAAAAAATGAAGGCTTCAACCAAGTCGAGATGGAGTTTACTACTTTTTCCTTTAAGTTTGCCCGGATCACGGGAATGTTGGAAATACTGGGGGGCCAGTGAGGTAGGATCGGACTGAGATTTCCCACTACCTGGCTGGGGCTCTAATCACAGCAAAGTGTTGGGGACCTCCACATAAGGGCAGCTTACAGAGGGCTTTACCACGGTTTAAATAACACAGGTCTAAAACACTATGAACCCAAATGATGACACTTCTCAAATTTACATTTTCATGTCAAATCAGTTTCACCAATTAAAATGGTTCCGCTTCCTTGACTGATTCCAGAACACCTCTAACCCTTCATGTTTGCAGGAATTATTTAGGCCGTTCTGGCCCGCCCTCTGTGCTTGAATTGAGCCCTGGGAATCCCACTGCTCTCGGGTGGGCTCTGACTCAGACACGCTGGATACCATAAAGCGAACGCCGTCTGGTCCCGCGCCAGCCTCACCATTGCTCTGAAGCTGGAGCCCATCGCTGTAGCTACTGTGTCCGTCCGTCCGGTGGAGGGCCTTCTCTGTTTCTCTGTCAAACGACGTGCTTTTCCAGGGACCCGTCCCTTCTGATAGATAACATGGCCAAAGGGTTCTCTGGCTTTACTTCTACCAAGACAGATTCGTTTGTTCTTCTGATCAACCCAAAGCCAAACTCACTGCCATGGACTCGGTGCCCGCTTACAGGTACCCTATAGGACGGGCCAGAACCGTCCCGTGAGTTTCCAAGACGAACTTCACAGGAGTAGAGAGCCTCATCTTCTCCCAGAGTGGCCGGTGGTTTGGAACTTCGCGTGGCAGTCCACAACAGTCACTGTTCTTCGCCAGCGCCGTGATTCAAACGCACGGACTCTTCTCAGACTTCCTTAGTGACTGCCCAACTTTCACGTGCGTTTGAGGCAACGGAAAACACCCTGGTTTGTTTGCATCAGCCACATGTTAGTCCTCAAAGTGACATCTTTACTGTTGTGTTTTTAATCATTTTACTGGGGGCTCTTACAACTCTTATTACAATCCAATATCAAAAGTATCCGACATATTCGTACATATATTCCATCATTCTTTCCTAGACATTTATTTTCCATTGAGCAAGGATCAGCTCCTCTTTTTTCCCTCCCCTCACCCCAAACACTCATGGCCCCTTGATAGACTGTAGATTTTTAATTATTTTCAAATCTGTCTCCCTTCCCCTCTGGTTTCTGTTGTTCTTCCCCCTGGATGGGGGGTGTGTGTAGTTATGTGCCATTCATTGCAATCTGTGCCCCCTCCCTCCCCACCTCTCCTCCACCTCCCCCTACCCTTTTGGGATCTCTAGTCCCATTCCTGTTCCTGGGGTTCATGTGTCCTGAGTTTTATCTCTTCCCTATACCTGTGTACATGCTCCTGTCTAGTCCAGAGTGGGCGGTGGCACTGGGGTCATGACAGTGGGGGGTGAGGAGGCCTCGAGGGATCAGAGGTCTATTGCGTGACCCATTAGTGCTCTACTGCACCCTGACTGACTCATCCCCTCCTGCGACCCCTCTGTGAGGGGTGTTCCACTGTCCACAGATGGGCTAGTTTACACTTTCAAGAGGTCATTTGTACCAGGTTTGCCTAATGCATTTTGTGTTTTGAGTCCCTGACTTGTTTCCGTGGGCACTGAGGAAAATGAAGTCCTTGGCAGCTGTCTTCCGTCTGTCCAGTAAGACAAAGTTGCTCATTGTTTTCTTCATACTGAAGCAGAATCCACACTGGCTTCTTGGACTCTCGCACCACATGCTTCAAGCGCTCATCACTTTGATTAAGTGGTGCATAATCACAGGTCGTTAATGAGCCTTCCTCCAATCCAATCTTGAGGCCGCCGCCTTCTTCACACAGTCCAGTTTCTGAGACGACTTGCTCAGCACACAGATCACATAAGCAAGGCAAAAATAAGGTGAAACCATCTCATTACTCCTTATAAATCATGATACTCAAGTTCTTCGTTATTTTGACTGCTTTGGGGAATTCAGTCCCATTTTTCAACACTTTCCTCAGAGTGGGAAGCCTGAACTACAGCACTAAAAATTCTTGACATTTATAGTACTTTCCACATCGTGCCACTATAGTCTTTAGTGTTAAAAAAAAAAAAATCTTCCTTTACTGCTTTAAATGTCCTATTAAATTAAAATGATAAAGAACAAGAAAAGTCAGGAGTCTGTCTGCTGCTCCCTTTCAGCTAAAATCCACGACACAGGGCAGAAATGATAGGGCATCAGTGAGGGAGGCTGTCAACCATGGAGACGCCCCTCAGCCCTGCCGCACCCCGACCGAGCCCTGCAGCTCTGAGGGGCCATGCGTAACTCCCCAAAGAAACGGATTTGCATGCGGGTGGGCAATGGTTAAAGTGCTCGGTTGTAACCACAGGGTGGAGGTTCAGCCCCTCCCACGCGGCGCCTGTGAAGAGGGCAGTCTGGGGCACAGACTGGCAGTAGGTTCAGCTCCTTGGGTTTGGGGCCTGAGAGTCTAAGGCCTGCTACTGCTGACTCTGGTTCTTCTGCCTTGAATCCTCTGCCACACAGATCTGCGCTCCAAAGTCAGAATTTCTAATCTCAGGGAGCCCTCGTGGCATCAAGGTTATGTGTTGGGCTGCTAACTGCAAGGTCAGCAGTTTGAAACCACCACCCACTCCACAGGAAAAAGACCAGGCTTCCTACTCCCATAAAAAGGTACAGTCTCAGAAACCCACAGGGGCCATTCTGCCCTGTCCTATAGGGTCACTGTGAGTCAGCATGGATTGGGTGGCGGTGCTTTTTTGAGAAGGGGCACTAGGTACGCATACTGGGCCACTTCCTGGGTGGGGTGGCCTCAGGTGCTTTCTGCATCTGTCATTGCTCACAGGTGATGGGAAGGGTTCAATGACCTCGATAAGTGCCGACCATCACCCTTAGCCACTGACCTCAGGAAGCATTTCCTGTGTTCTGACCCTAGGGCCAATCCCGCTCCTAAACCCCGTCCCATTTTGCCCACAGCTCCAGAGGCCTGCATCTGGGTGCTGAGCCCCCATGTGGGCGTGTCCTCCACACCTTGATCACAGTCCCCAGTGAGAGCAGCAACCCGAGCACTTGTCGAGTGCAGGAACGAGCCACAGGAAGTCCCCCCGCCGCTGAGCCTCATCAAAGCTGGGTCCTCTGGTTTCTCCTCATCTTCCGCCTTCTCTTCCAAATGCACTGCACCTCCTCTCTCCCAAGAGGGTGCGGGGTTCACTGATCAAGGGGGAATCCGTGAACAGAAGGGTCATCGCGAAGCCTCCTTTACTGGGCTTGAACCCAAGAATGAATGTCGTCTTCACTAAGCAAGGCAGGGGGACGTCCTGGGAGGAAAACCATGACCATGGCCTTGCGGTGACAGGGGTTCTCCTCGCTGGTGTTGGGCTTCCCCGTGCCTCGAGGGACCCTCCAGCTTTCTATTCAAAGGCAAGGAGCTCACTCGATGGTCCCTGCGGGCAACCGGCTTAGGGTGTCTGTGCGCCCCTCTGAGCAGTGGTGCCTGGTCCCAGAGTTAGGGACCCGGGAAAGTGCTCGGGGTGCGAGGTAGGCAGGGATCGCAGCCCAAGACGTGGAGGTATTTGAAATAAAGCCTGACAAGCGAGCGCTGCTCCTGAGAGGCAGGAGCATGGCAGGCGGCACAGAAAGCCCCTGCCCCAGAGCACGTGCCCCCCACCCCCTCTGACACACGTCCCTTGGAAGCAGGGCGGAGGAGGCAGGTGGGGCGGGGGGCTGAGACACGGGCACATGAGGGAAAAGGCAGAGAGGACAGGAAATAGAAGTCAATGGCCGAATCCCGAGTGGCTTCTGGAATGTTTCCCTGGGTCTGAAAAACCACATCAGGGAGTTGCAGCGCGAATGCAGTGTCTGGGGAGACAGCCATCCGGAGTCAGGAAGAGAAACACCTCCTCAGCAGGGTCAGCGGTGGCCTGATGTGAGGGCTTGGGCAGCAGTACTGTCAAGGGAGCAGTGAGTGTGCGTGCGTGCGTGCACAGTGTCTGTTCATCAGCAGGAGTCAGGCGGGGGCCATCTCACCCCGAGAACCTCAGGATCCCACTCCCCTGGGCCTTCAGCTCCACCCTCCCCGTCTGAAACTGAAGCAAGTGCTGCATTTCTTGTCCACCAAGCCCGCTGCCACGTAGTGGACTCTGGCTGACAGCTGACCGGTGACAGGCTTTCCACGCTGTAAACCTTGATGGGAGCAGGCAGCCTCATCTTGCTCCTGCAGAGCAGCTGACGGGTTTGGATTCCACGGCCCCTGGTCAGCAGCCCACCATGGATCCCACAGACTGTGACCTTCAGAGCCCAGGAAAGGGTGCAGTGTTTGTGAATCCGTGCAGGATACCCAGAACAGGAGGCTGGGGAGACCCCTGTTGGTTACCTTTGGTTAGTGACTCGGGGGCCATGTCACACATGTCCACTCGGAAGAGCAGGTACTGCTGGGCTTGCATGAGGAG